GCTCTCTTAATGTCACCCGCTTCTGTCTTGATTTACCGACTTGTTTTTGCTCTTTCAAAACTCAGTTTTGCCTGTGCGCATCCTGGTTTCTTCATGCTTTACCATCTCCTTAACTCTACCCCCACTAGTAATTGACTTATTCTGTCAGTATTTCTTAAGTTTGCAAGAAAGACTCCAGCCCATTTCTACTTTTCAAGTCAACACATGGATTGACTTCCTTTGGGTGAGAAGCACAATCCTAGTTCCTTTGGTTAACAGTTGGAGGAGAAGGCGTACCATAGCATGTGATAGCGTATTTCTTGGAGCATGGGTTATGGGTTGATTGAAATTTGAATTAGTCAGCTTTGAATTAGTCTGCCTTAACAGTTATCATAGGCACTTAATTGTAGCCTGGGAGGCTTAAACAACAGAAATTTATTCTCTTGTGTTTCTGGATAATGGAAAGTCCTGCATCAATTTCTGGCCAGGTTTGTCTTCTGATAAGGGCTTTTTTCCTGGCTGGTCAGTGGCCACCTTGCTGTGTCCTTCCATTGCCTTTTCTCAGTGCTTGTGCGGAGAGATCTCTTCTTCTTCCTCTCAGGCAACCGGTTCTGTGAGATTAGAACTCATTCCCTGAATTCCTTTAACTTTAATGGCTTCTTAATGCCCTGTTTCCAAAATGAGTTCATTGGGGGGGTTAGGTTTTCAGCCTATGAATTTTGTGAATATACAATTCACTCTACAGTAGCATGATAACATACTATAACAGTAATGCAAACTTTTACTGAAGAAAGAAAACTTTATTTCTAGAATGGTCACTGCACTGATACTTTTAAATATTCTCTGTCTTGGTGACTGGTGTTACCATCTAATCAGTAATTCACATAGGACATCTGAGATTCATCCTAGAGTCCTCTTCTTCACCAATACGTTATCAGGTCATTTTGCTTATAGCTATTTAACTAATTCTTGAATCTCTTTCCTATTTTCTTTTTTTTCTCTTCTGTCTCTATTTTTGAAAATGCCTCTTGTATGGCCTCCTTACTTCCAGTTTCTCTTATTTTTCGTATGCCCTCCACACCATTGCCAGAGTGATATTTCCGTGTCACACACACTTGGCCAAAATAAACTTAAAATCGAATCTGAGCACTTTAAAAAAGCCATAATCTGGGCTTTATATACTTCCAGCCTCATTACCTCATCCTATCCTCTCCTGTAGCCTCAATCCAGGTATAAGAAACTTTGTAGTGCTCAGAAGGTGCCAAATCTTCTTGCCTTTCCATGAGAACCTTTTACAGTGGTGCTTTGACTGACCTCTCCCTGCCTGTCCTGGTGACTCTGACTCCAGGAAGTTTTCCCTAACTCATTTTGAGTTCAGGATGCCTCTTTGTGTTTCGGTATTTTAATTTTATTTATTATTTTTTTTCATTCTCTTATATTGAGTTTCCAGACTGAATCTTTAAATATCTAATTTGGTCATCAGTCATGTATGCACTCTGTGTGCGTTTGTTGAATCAACAAGTAACAGAATTTGAGTTCTCTTCTAACCCTGTCACTATTTTCACTTTGGAAAAGTATTTTATGGGTTTATAAAGGAAGGATGATAATATCAATTAAAAAATAAATCACTAAGGGCTGGGGATTTAGCTCAGTGGTGCTGCCGCCTGCCTCACAAGCCCAAGGTCCTGAGTTCATTCCCCGGTACCAAAAAAAAAAACAAAAACCC